TTTTTTTAACAAGAAGCCTCACTATTCATTCATTCCCCAAATAGCTTTCCCTCTCATTGGACAACATCATCCTGCTAGGACAGTCCAAGCCTGTTCTGACAGGCAGCTTATCTGCCTGGCAGCTCTGACTGCTTCCTCTGTCTCTCCTTTGTGTGGGAGGTGTTTTGTCTTTCCAAACTTCTGCTGACTTCAGTGGGCATTAGCTTGTGCCCAAACATGCACTGATAGTGCAGTTCAGTGCTGAAGTTCACCACTGTTTTTTATTTATGTCCCTGCAGTGTGTTTTTCTTTGCAAAGGAAAGGATTTAAGTGGTTTGGGGAGGGGAGGAGAGCCGTTACTGAAAKTCAGTGAAGCTGAGGCTCTCAGTTCACCCTGTCTGCCTCCATCCTGCAAGTCCTGCCGCAGGATATGGTGAAGGCACTTGTGTTAAGGGGTGTGACGCTGATGTGGGTTCAGATGAAGGCCTGATCTGCAAAAAAACCTGTGTCTGAAAAAGCCCAGAGCAGCCAGCTTGTTGCTTTCCTGTGTTGCCAGCTGCTCAGGTAACTTRAAGAAATTTCTAGCCTAGTTTTAAATCTGGTAGAAGTGGAGAGAAGTGTTTGGAGTGTGTGTACATGAAACAAGGCTTACAAATGTTGGTATWTTTAATAAAATAAAGTCACGTTTGAAGCTGCAGTTTGCCAGTGTGCACTCCTGMTACAGAATCCTGATGATACAGAATCAATGCTTTCTTTGAGATRCAGTTTCCAGTCAACAAAACTCTGTGTGATGGTTAGTTTTCTTGAATCTCCAAAACTTCTGCAAGCCTGCTCCTTGTGGAGATGCATTTGGATTTGTTTATGAAGTTCTTAACTTTTCTCCTTGAGCTGTGGGATGCTTCCTACTGTCTGTGTGATGCCACCACATGTCCAGTGCTGCTGCTTGTGCAGTGGTAGCCCAGGGATGTTTGTAGGTCAGGGATGACAGATACTCGGCAGGACTCATTGGTGCTATTAATTAATTGCATTCCAACAGCAGCGAAAGCAGCAGCAATAGTAATAAACAAATTATAATCTACATTATGAAGCTGACAGGAGCCACCCACTCATTACCTGTCTTTAACCACTCTCATTACTACCCAGTCTTTGTGGGAACTAATCTTACTGCTCAGTGTCCGACTTGTTCACTTAATGCCATTATCTGAAGCAATCAGCCTCTCCCTGTGAAAGAAGAGGAAGGTGCTTTTCCTGAGGCTTGTTCTCTCGATGCTGGAACACAGGGAACTCTGGGGTGGAGGAGGCTGAAGGGGCCCTTAGTAAAAGCATATTGTGGCTGGGAATTGAAGGCTGAAATCTTCAGTCTTAGGGAGGGGGCAATATGGGGAGGAGCTGGGGAGTAGCAGGATGGGAAATTGTCACTAGGAGGAAATGTCTGCGTTCTGTTCATCTCCATGGGATTAAGGAATAGTATCCAGTGAAAGGGTTAATAGGAAGAGCCATATCTGTTTTTCTCTCTGAATGTTTTCCACACTTTGGGAGCAAGTTGGGTTGCTGACTAATGACAGTTCTCTTTGTGGCTGCCCCAGGGCATTGCAGGAATAGGTCCTGRTAGAATTTCTGTGGGGACCAGTTCAAGCTCCCCCAGGAAAAAGAAATAGCACTCCAGAAATTTCTTGCAGTGGTCTGGCTTAGGCTGAGCTCAGCAGAGTCAAGGATGCTCAGCCAGAGGAGCTCAGCCTCCATGCCTGGCTGCTCCATTGCCTTGTGTGGGTCCTAGTGTTAAGGACTGTGCTGTGTCTGGGCTGCAGATGTTTTCCTTTCCTGAATGACACAACTGGGAGCCTTCCTGGGGAACATTATTGAAGCCTGGAAGATGAGGAGTTGGCTGAGAGACCTGATGGGGAAACAGTTTTTTTTCAAGGTACTCCATGGATGGCTGGACCATGGCCAGCCAGAGGTCCTGTTGTGCTCTCAGGGTTTAAGGRTATCTCATCAGGGGGTCTCTAATGAGTAAATAATAAGCCAAAAGATGAGAAACAAAGGCACAGAGGTGAGGAGCCAACTTTCCCAGTGAAGGATTKGCATCAGTAAGATGCAACAAGGGCCTGTAAAAACCAAAGCTGTTGAATGTGTCTGTTAATGAAAAAAGAGTACTGTGGCAGACAACGTATTCTGTTGACCATTCAGAGTAGCAAAACCCAAAAGCTACACTGAATAGCTGTAGGAAGTCCTTGCAGTGTGGAGTGCTGGGGTTGTGACATATGATGCTGAGAAAAGCAAAGCAATCCATCTCAAAATGGGATAATGTCACAAGGGAGAGATATCTCAGAAGTGCARTGAACTGTGCTGTGAGAGCAAGGCTTGATTTTGACTATGGTCAAAAAAAACCCAAACAGTCACCCTCTAGAAAAAAGCTAAGAACAAACTGGATAAATCCATTGTATGAATCTACAGTGAACAAAAGCATCTCTGGGTTTGGGGGGCAATAGAGTAATGCAAGGAAAATCCATTGAGTGCTTTTAAATATCAATAAGCAGTATCTTGTTGAGAAAATCCCACATYTGTAAAGAGCTGGAGCCTGGGAAAGCATTAGTAATGTAACAGTTACATGCTACTTAGCTACATGGCTGGTTCTGGAATACTCTTCCCTTGGTCCTACTATTAAGTATCACAGAAAACAGCACAACAGGACAGGATGAAGCTTGATCCAACAACAGTTAGTGGTTGTGATTCTTCTGCCTTTCCAAAACAGTGGTGTCCTGGAACAAGGTGTGTGGCACACTGTGTGTGTGAAGAATTTTTGTGGAGATACTGTGCTCTCCTAGTAAAGAGAACTGCTGAAGTGCATGGCTGGAGGAGAAGACTCTTGAGACTTTTGTACATCTGATGTCAAATGGCTATTGCAAACAGACAACCCAAGTAATGAGAAGATAGATCTTTGTCAGATGACCAACAGAAACATCTTGTTCTTCACCAGCAACAGTCACCTTGAAATGGACAGAATCCTTAGGTGATGGGAAGCCATTGCCTGGGTCAACAGATCCACCTCTTTTTTCCTCTGAGGAACATTTAGGCAGGAAACCAACTCTGAAAGGATTTGCTTTCTTCAACCTGTCCTCTCCCATCACTCCTTAAGTACGGTGCTTATGGTGAAGGAGARCTGGATGATGTGGAAGCTGGATGGGTTAGGCACACTCATCCTGCCCTCAAAGCCCTTGTGTGCTACTTTAACCCACACCACAGTGGGGCGAGACACTGTGTGGGAGTGTGAGACAGTTCCTAATGTTCCTGTTGATCRAATGGCCCACTGAGTCTCCTGATCTGCTGTGGTGATAAGTCCTAACAAGGACTCTCTCTTAATCCTCATTATCCTCTGTTGGTGCTTCCTGCCCACATACACTAGATATTTCCTATCAACAGGGAGTAACCTCTGTGGAAGATAGGATCAGATTCCCAGGAGCTAGGCTGTAGTAAGAGTGAAGAAAGAATGAGGAAACTGTCCTAATTTGAGGCTAATCTTTTAAATACAGGGCTGGATACAGACAATAGAAAGAGAAATGCCAGGGAGCTTTAGCATTTAATTAGGAAAGGATCATCTTTTTCCAGGAGTAACCTGAATTGTAACTTATGATGTGGTGAAGTTGCTGTTTGATGTCAGCTTCAGCAGAGGGAAAGACAGATTCTTCTTTGTGTCACCAGAGGAGGAGTAGCCTGAGAAAAAAAAAACAAGGGAAAGGTGTTTTTAAAAGCAATTTTTTGTCATTTGTGTACTGAGTCAAGCTGCAGTGAATGGATGGAGTGTTTAATTTCACAGTTTTTATTTGAATAAGACAAAAAATAAGGAGAAGAAAAGGGCAGACATGCTAATATACCCATTTGGTATTTAAAATTTCATGGCATTGCTGAAAATGCAGAAACCCATAGATCTTTTTTTTTAGTGTAAGTGGATTTTTGGGGTGTTTCTTTCCCGTACCTAGACCCATAACTGGAGCCTGGACCAGYCAGAAGCTTGGCCTGTCCCTCATGCTCACCTTTTATGTGGGCTGGGTGGAGTGTGCTGAAGCTGTTTATAGTGGGGAGTTTTCTAGACAGTTCCTTTTATGAACCTTTTTAGACAACTTGTTAAACTGAAGAGCTGCCTGCTGCCTGTCCTGTCCACATCATGGCATCAAGCACAGAGCCTGTGATGCCTCTGTGCGTTTCATTAGCAAACAGGGTGAGAGCAAGTGCCTGTTTCTGAGAAGTGAATTGCCTGTGTGTGGGTGTGAGGGTCCCTAACTGCATATTCATGCACAGCAGGTGTTCAAGCATGATCCCACAGCCATATGAATGACTATAATGCAACAAGGTGTGGACACTGGTTGCTCATCCCCACCCTGAAGGTGGTGTTGCAAGTTCCTGAAAAATGCCGTCATGTCCCTGCAGGTTTGGACTCGTTTGGCTTTTCACTCTCTGTGTCCTGCTCACAGGTGTGTGGTGATGTTGGTGTTTTATTTGGCCAGCTCTGGGCTGATCACTGCTTCTTCCCTCAGAAGCTTTGCAGGCCTAGCCTTGGACCAGGCTTGTGAAGCTACAGTGATGTACAAACTCCTGCTGCTTTCTAGAAACTTCCAGTCCCCTTTGGATAGTTCAGCTTGGACAGAAGATCTTGCAAAGCTTGGCCTAAGACAGGTGATACAGTAGTTCCCTGTCCCATGCTTCTTCTATTAATAAGGACAAGGCTTTTTAACTACTYATATGCCACTTGTATCATAATTTCCACTTCCTATTGTTTCTGGCCCTCCCAGGATAATTGATTTTTGCCTGAAAGTCAGTTGAAGGATCACATTCTGCCATGTGAACTCCCATTCCTTCCCCAGGTGGCTGGCTCTGTTGTTTTCTCTTCACCATGGCAGGTTATGTCATCCAAGGCTTCTGCTTCATTGCAGACAGTGCACAGTTTGATTCTGAAGGCTGGTTTGGTTTTCTTTTTTGGGCTCTGTTTAAGATAAACKCTGTCAGGGAGCAGGGCTGGCTCAGGGGACATGTACAGTGGTGTGGACACAGCAGATCCTCTTTGTGCTAAGTTTCCTTTCATAAAAGTTACTAAGTAGTGCCTACAGGTAGTTGATACAGCTGGATAGTGAGCAGAGTATAATTGCTTCTGCTRTCTTCTGGGCTGCACTTCCAGCAAGTCACGACACCTGGTAACGTGCTTGTAACATCTATTAACCTTTTAATTAAATAAGTGCTGCTTTAAGCTTGCCTGGTTGCCAGTCAGGTCTGGAAACATCAACTGTGGCTCTCCATGGTCACTGCTGAAATGCTGTTCCTGGCTACTGAGTTCACTGCATCTTGCTGTCACTCCTTGTCAGGTGCTSTACTCCTCACAGCTCAAAGCCTGCCCTTGTCTGTTGGTTTTCTTCCTGAGTTYGTCTGCAGTGTGGATGCTGGAATGTTGATGCTTTGGTGGCCTGGTGATGTGTGGTATTTCTCCCCTTAGAGGTGACAGATACCCTGCAGTAAAGAGCTTCGAGGCTAAATAGATCAGCATTCCTGCAGAGGTCTGAGTCACCTGGTGTGGCGCRGGAGTTTGGGAAGGTGGAAGAATTGGAGTGAGAGCTGAGGCTTGCTGCAGAAAGAAGATTCAAGAATCCTTGTTCTGGGGCAGCCCTGGTAAATGCTCTTCACAGCACTGGAAGGAACTGGTGTTCAGTGAGCAGGGCGGGGTGGATGCTCTGTGCCAAACTCTCACTTGTCTCCTTTCTCCTTAGGGCATTCTTCATTCACTAAACTTGCTACTAATGCAGCTTTGGTGGAAGTAATCAGTTTCCTGAAAGTGGWGGCTTTTCCTGGATGAGCACCTAGTGTTGGGGCATGAGTGAATTGCTGTATTTGGAAGAGCAGAGTGGGAAAAGTGGGGTGTTTTGCTGTGTGCTCCATTACCCGTGACCGTGGACAAGAATACAAAGCAACRAATAACACCAAAAAGTAGAGAGCCACTTTCAATTGCCTGCATTCAGATGCTCCYAGTGAGCAGAGCAAAACTTTGAATGGAGACCACAGCCTGTCTCCAGTCTGTCTGTCTTCCTTCTTCTTGGCTCTAAACAGGAMTTCAGGTGCATGGCTCCAGAATAAGCAGTGAGAGATAGTTTAGGGTGGGCACCATCTTTGCCTTCCACTATCTCTAGTGCCTCAGTTAGCAGGGACGTGAGCCTGGGTAGCACCCCTGTGGCACAGCTGTCAGAAAAATAAGCTGGCAATCTTGACTCCTTATTTATATTTTTGTGAAGGTTTTTATCATGTTTCCTGCAGACACGGATGGAGAGGAACGGGTGGTTCTGCTGTTGGCGCGCCTTTCTGATAAAGGCCAATGGCTTTTCACAAGCTCTTGAGTTGCTGTTGGGTCTCAGTATATCCCCTTCTGCTGTTTCATGTCACTGCTTCTCCTGTGCCTGCTGGAAAACAGGTGTCTTTCGTGCAAAAGATTTTCAAGAAGCTGCTTAGCCTGTTTACTTTTCATCTTTATAATCCTCATTCTGTTTTTTTTCCTGTTTTGTTTTTCCTTTGCCCCATAAATCTCTTGTTTACCTCCCCCAGGTAGAGAAAATTTACAGGAATCTGTAATTTGTTAATTGAAATTGCTTCTTGCTGTGCATGTAAAGAAAAAAAGCAAACTACAACTGCAAAACAATGAAAGCATAAACAGGAAAACATATCCAAAAAAGCTTCATTTTGGAGACATAGTCCCTTAAGAATGCAAAACCTTCTAGGCCTGGAAGGTCTGTGAGTCAAGTATCAATTGATGTGATGTACCAGAAAAGGAAATGTTTAACTGTTTTATTTATGTCCAGTAAATCTCAATGAAGCCTTCAGGGAACAAAACAACTCAGGAGGATTCAAAGGAAAACAGCTTGCAGGGCTTCCGGCTGTGTATGCACTACTTTAAATTTGAGAGCTTCATGGGAATGTTAATAGTTTATTCTCAGCAGTGTCACAGGAATGAGTCTGTAATTTGGAAACCTTTGCATGACTTTTAATTTTAAAGTAAAAGAKAATTCTGGCCTAGATTTTAAAAAGTGACTATGGAAGGTTCCCCCAAACCAGCGGTTAGGTAGCTCATAAACACTGTCTAGAAAAGCAAATCCCTTAAGGCTCTCTGCAACTGGAATCCAAATTTGTGATTTATGTGGTCTTATGTTCGGAAGTCACCATGTGATTTAGGCAACCAAAACTTGGTGAATTATCTATTAGCTGAAATATATTTAAACTGAGTAATTGAACACAATGTGTAGAGTCATCTAAAACACTGAAGTGTGTTCATGGCTTCTCTGTTAAGTGATCAAGGAACTTAAACCACTTGATAAGCATTTAGCTCCAAAGTGCACACCTAGCTCTAGTGTCCCGCTGCAAAGCAGCAAAATGTTCAGTTGAGCTCGGTATTGATAGTTTGTGATGATCAGATCTACTTCTATTGTTTTACTTGGGAAAGATGCGAGAAGTYCTTGGAGAATCTTATTTATTTTTTTAACCCCTTCTGGCAGGATGTCAGGAGGTCAGAGCCAGGCAGTTATCCCCTCTGCAGCTGGTCAGTCAATGAATTTCTTTGGTTGGAAGTTTGGAGGGGTCTTTGTCTCTGCTGCATTGGGACTGCCAGGCAGTACAGCACTTTTCATCTTTGCAACTTGAATTAGGGCAAAGGAAGAACAAACTGTCCCTATGAGCTGTTTCAACCAACTCCCTGTTTCTATCAACTGCCAACCATGATTTTATGTTTAATTATTTGCATTACATCACTAGTCCTGTGCTAGGTGTTGTACATGGCTAATGTTGCAAAGCCTACCCCAGGTTTGGACACTATATGGGCAAATGTGCAAAAGTGTTTGAAGTGCTTAAGGAGGGGAAACTAGCAWAACCTCCCCTACCTTCTCCCCTTGGAATAGTAAGATATTTAATATGTTAATTTAGCTTACTTATTAAAATGGAATACTCTTTTTCAGAAGTAAAACCTGCACAGGTTAGAAACTCCTTTATGCTTCGTGTACTGTATGTCTGAGCAGGGCATTTCTGAGGAAGACACTGTCAGAGATCCACTGAGCTATTCCCACTGGTACAAACCCAGGCTGGGCACTGGGGCAATTTTCAGAAACCTTGGGCAAAGCACAATCCATCAGTTATTGATTCTACAGAGCATAAAAGTCAAAGTATCTCTTCYGAAGGTGCCTGGTTTAGAGGCATGGGATCGCCCCCATCCCAGAGCCCGTGGTGAAGGCTGGCTACTTGTTATTGCCCCAAAGTAATTTCTGCATCCTCACAGCCTGTGCGTGTACACATATTTCCGCTTGCTTTTTTTTATCATCTTCTCCTTGCTGAGCTTCCCTTTAGACTGTTGATAAAGTGTATTGCTTAATATGGGCGAGGGTGTTGGTTTTGGAGGGTCTGGCAAGGTTCCCTGCAGAGGAGCTATCACAGTGTGGGCTCTTGGTCTATCAGCCAGGCAGTGGAGCCCAGGCAGGTCCCTCCCAGCAGGAGTGTGCCTGGAGTTGCTATGCTGGGGATGAAACTGGGAAAGGATGTTCTGTGTATTGGTAGTAAACCTCTGAGCAAAGGGGGATAGGAAAGGGGCTGGGCAGTGCTGGTGGCAGGGGAGGGTCAGCCTGGCACACAGAGCCCCTGTGCTACACTCACCAAGTCTGTTCTGAGAGACTGAAGAAGAAAATAATATCTTCTCTGGCCTGTGTTGGTGCCTCTGCCCTGCTCTAGTGCAGGGCTGTGTGTGTAGTGTCTGTGAGGCAGAGCAGGGCAAGGCAGCTTGCAAACAAAAAATGCTTTGTTCTTTCTCAGTCTTGTAGACAGAGTTGAGCCCAGTTCACCWGAATCAAACCTGCCTTAACCTGGTAGAAGTGAGGTCAGGAACTGGAGCTGGAATGTATCCTGATATTCCATGGCTAACTATACACTGGGAAACCCAGGAGCTGATGGTGCTTCACTGCTCTGTAAGGAGATGCCCTTTACCCCTCTCTGGAGTTGTTGAGTCTGTCTGCATTGAAAAATGCTCTGCCTCCGGAAGAGGAAATGCGGGCCCTGCTTCTCTGAGATGTTGTAGGGTGGCCAAACATCCTCAGCAGATAGAGATCATGTAATTCAGGTGGACCACTAAACTTTTAGGCAGCAATTAGGACTTATGCAGTAATTCTGAGTCAACTAATGCAGCTGGGTGTTGCCTTGGCATACTTCCGATGGCAAATCCTTCCTGTGTAGGCATGATATTCTTACATTCTCTGATGGCCTCTCAAATGCTCCACTTGGAAACCTGATCAAAAAAAACCTGTGGTGATGCCAAAGGGAGATGTYGCATTAAATTCCTCATTTTTCCTTTGGTTCTCTAAACCTGCAGATGATCCCAGGCAATTTCTTTGATGCCTTCTTCTCCCATGGATGAAGTAATTATGACTTCTGTGCAGCAGGCTAATAGCTCTGAAGGCTTTAGTCAGCCWGATTAACAACCACTGTGTTTTAATAAAAAATGTTCTGGTAAATCTTTCTGAATTGCAGCCCTAATTACTCTGCAGCCTGATGTGCAGCAATTGCAAAGGTAATAGGATCACCTGAATCCAGTTAATGAATCCTCTGTTATGGCTTGCTGTGACTCACAAGATGTGTAGTATTTCTTCTGGTCTCCCCTGYCCTGCTCCATTCTCTGGTGAATATTTATGCTCTGTATGGCTATGGCTGAAGGTAAGGGGGTGTGTGCACCTAGACTCTGAATGAATTAACTTAAATATATGTGCATCCTTCCTCTGATTATTTCAAGGGACTTGTAAGGATCAAGAGCCTGGGCTTTTTGCTTTGGTCTCAAGRTGAGTTCATTCCAGAAGTCACCAATAACTGCTGTTGCCTGGTAGTTCTTTTCAGGCTTCTTTTGATGAGAAATCTGTTCAACCCTGTTCTCTGCCTCCCCAACAGTAGTTTGCATCTAGAGAGCAGAGAGTTAGGAGACTTCCTCCTTGCTGCTAGAATTTAAAGGTTGTTTGTCCTGAATCAGGGGAAAATAAAAAACAGTAAAATGAAAGTATTTTTTTATCGGAACACTTTTCCTTTAGGTTTCAGCCTTTTGCATGTAAACATATTTTTGCTCCCTGGCTGTCTCCACTCTCCCTTCAAAAGGAGAAATACATATTAACCCCAAATCCAAGATGTTGCATCTTTTACAAGGTTGTAAGCTGGTGATTACTTTTGGAAAGCTTTGGAGAGGGACTCTGGGCAAGCAACACAGACCGACWGGTGCTATAGGTTTTAGGGTGCCTTTTGATTTTAGAGGTAATTTAGGGCTATAGGGGATTTAGGGCTTCTGGCAGACTTGTGTCAAATGTTCAGCCTCAGTCAGGGATAAACAAGGATTGATTTGAAAGTTGTTTTTCAAAATTTCCCTCCTTGCTCACTTGTTCTAAATGTAATGTGCTTCTTACACAGATTTATAGGTTTAACTCCTTTTTTAGGTACACTATAAAGTATTCCTCTAACCAGTTACAGTACCTTGTAACTACCATAATAGTAAGGAAGCCTGTCTGAYGAATTTAGTGGCAGGAAGCAAAGTCAGCATCTAAAGGATGTAATAAAGAGATTCAGGTGGGTAGGACACAGCAACGTGCCAGAGGAAAGACTTGACACCAGTTACATTCCTGGTCCCGTAGCTCCAGTGCTGTCCTTTACTGGGCATAATCCAATGAACCATTTGTCTGAACTCTCATGGTGTCGGGGCTTGTGTTAAAGTCTGGGTGTGAAGCCTGGGACTGGCTGTCCCCCAGCTGTGGGGATATTCCTGTAGAAGGGATGATGCATGAAGCAAATCTTTCTCTTTTCTGCTGCTCACACCACAGATGCTTTCATAATGGGTCAAGCTTAAAAACACCAGCTCAATATAGGGGTTTTAATGGAGGATATTGGACAGGGGATTAGCTTCATTAAATTTCTCTCTAGGAGCTTGAAGCCCTTGGGTAGGTGTGAAAAATGCTAAATGATTCAAGTTTTGCAGCAGAGAGACATGAATGAAGTTACTAATGAACTGTACAAATATTTATTGCATGTTGGCCACAGATTTCAGGTCAGCCCTTTACAGCTGGGGGCAGAGAATGACAATATTTTTTTTCTTTTAAGCAGAGTTTAGAGCAAAGAAAAATAAAAGGCTTGGATGATATTTGGAAGGAGGAACAAACCCAAGCCCAGCAAATTTGCTTGTAAACGATAAGGAAGGCAAGAGAGCAGAGGTGGTGCTGGAGGGTTTTGTGTTGTTTCCCTGAGCACAAGAAGTGCAATATTAGCCCTGTGATGGCTCCTGCGTGGCTGGGACATGCAAATTGTGTGAATGATGGGCTGAATGAGAGAGGAAAGGAGTGCAGTTTAAACGAGATTTTTAAATATTATGGTGTCAGACTCCTGTGTATCTGGCTCTCCCCTGAAAGTTCAGAGCCTTTGAAGGCTCCTTTCATTTAAATTTATCCTCTGTGCTTGTGCTGGGCTCAGTAATTGGGAAAGGATTAGGAATGTAGGAGCTGTAGCATGGTTAGATACCAGTTTTGATTGCCTGTGGTGGTTTTTTTGGTTGCTATTTTTGTTTGGTTTTCCTCTTTATGGAATAAATTGGTAATGTGTGGTTGGACCCAGCTTGACTCTGAGCTGCTGGATGCTTTGGCAGTGACATTAGCTTGGTGGCTTGGGGAGAGGGGGGATGCTTGCACTCCTTGCCTCCCAGAGGTCAGAGAGGTTTTCTCATACTGGGTGGGAGGAAGTCACTTTTCACTTCCTCCTCAGACAGAGCAGAGGTCTGCTGTCTAGCTTACATTTCCCTTAGTCCTGCTGATAAATATTTGTAATTTTGATGTTTTGGACGCTGAGTGCTGGAAGATCAAAACTTACACTTGTTGGCTTTTGTGGAGAGAGAGAACTGGCTGCTTCCCACATGTCATCTGTGGGATTGCTTCACATGGCTGCTCTGTGCTTGGGCAGTGCCCTGCCCTTCCTTGCGGGCTCTCCAGACAGAAGCTGGGCAGGAAGCAGCATGGCTGTGTGCTGGGCAGAAGCAGGACCTGGGGACCAGCAGGGATGGAGTTCATTCCTGGCTTCAGGGTGATGACCAGACATGACAGACCATGGAGAGCAGCATGTGCTGGCAGCCTCTGTCCTCCTGTCACATTCCAATGGCAAACCAGATCCCGCCTAACCCACGCTGCCAGAGCTGAGTCTCTCCCACTTGACTCCAGCTTGAAGCAAGGCTGGAGGGGGAGCTGTCACAGTGGAGCTCCAAGCTCACTCTCTCTGTACTGAATGTGGGAGTTTTTGGCATGTCCTTGAGTGGGACAAAGATTTAAAATCCTTACCCTAACCTATGGGGAAAGTATTCAGGAGGCTTTCATCTTTGGAAAATGCACTGGGTTCTCTGGATGAAAGAGCTATTATTTACCTATCAACAACATAATCCCCCTCCCTCCTACAGATTGCAGGCAAGCTCCCGGGGCAAACGGCAGTGTAATTAAGAACAAATATTTACTATGAAGGACCAGTTGAGGCCTGGCTGGGCAAGGAGCCATGAGCCTTGTCTCAACTTGCCTTCTGTTTGTTCCCCTTTGAAAGCAAAGAGTCAAAGTATTTTGTCAGAGGAGTGTTTGTGAGGCACAAGATGGTGGGTTGGGCTTCTGAAATAGCCAGGAGCTATCAGACAGTTTGTTCCAAGCCTAGGAAATCCCCCACAAGAAGAGTTCCTTGCATCCAGAGGCACTTAACTTTGCTGTTATGGATGGCTCTTAGGTAGATCTGCAAGAGTGGGTTGGTCTGGGGACTGCATCTGGTGCCATGTTACAAGCAAGTCTGTGGAAATACTTGTCTGCTCTAAAATCTCAAATAAATTCAGTCTTTGTTTGCATCTACTTTCTCTTCTGATTTCTGTTGCAATTCAAGGGTTTGCTTCCCAGGACTCAAGACCTGGTGTGTGGATGCAAGGGAGTGTGGCTGCTGGAGAAAGCATGACCTTACAAAATTGCTGGGACTGTTTCACAGCTCAGACTCACAGCCTACTCACCTGCCTTCTGCCACTCTGATCAACAGCAAGGAGGGGTGACAGGGTTCTTGCTCATCTCCTGGCAAGGCTTGGTAAGCTGAAATTTAATAAATAAGTAAATTGTGAGTAAYAGAAACAATTGCAAGGATGTGGTGTGTGGTTCAACCAGCTATCACTGCTGTGGTAATGCAACAAGGCATGTGATTAGGCTGGGAAATTGCTGCAGCAATACCAAGATTTACAGCATGAGTCCCACAGAAGGAATAGTCATGGGAGACACACACACTCAGAGCTTGCAAAAGGACTAAGCAAAGTGTCTGAACAAGGCCACTACCATCTTCTAGAGTGCTAAGGAAGCCATGGAAGTAACTGAAGAGGTTACTTCAGTTACTTACCCAGCACCATGCTGGTACATGTGTGTGCTTTAAAACAGTTACAACTTGTCAGAGTTTTTGAGGAATATGTCACCAGCTGGGCTGATTAAAAAGGTCTTTTTAGGTTTGTTCCTCTTTGTTGTAAGGGTGGTCATGTATTGTCAGCCGTGTAACGTCTGAAACCTGGGTTCACAGATGCCTGTGCTGCTGGGCTGAGCCCAACATTCCTGGAGCTCAGATCTGTGAGAACTGCTTTGTGTATTAAGTATCTGATTTGGGTCTTTAAAATGAAATCCATTGCTCCCAGAGAGGAAAATTTATGTGAGGTTTTACTCTGAATGACATATCTCCTTTTGTTTGGGAGCTTGGACACAGCATCAGGGAAAAGACAGAGGTTATCCAGTACGCAGGGTCTGGAGGCCTGGGGGGAGGAAAGCTCTCAGCCTTGGGCTAGGAAGCCACAGAAGATCAAAGAAATGAGCTAGAGAAGCTCTTAAGAAGGCAAGAACAGCTTCAGCAGTGCTATTTGCTGTGGCTTTTATCAGTGCCCACCTCCTGCTTTGGCCCTTGGTACGTGTGGGGAGGAAGCAGCTGYGCCACCACTGCAAGCTCAAGTGCAGTGACCAGTGTGTTAATGCTGGCAAACCCCAACTGAACTCAAAGYTTGAGCAGAGCAAAACTTGCTTGCTGTTTTTCCCATTAAACCCATACCATCCTGGCTCATGAATGTGTGCGTTTATTGGCTTCACCGTCCAAAAGAAATGCCAGAAAAGCTGTCGGGTCTCTGATTTGGCTTCAACAAAGGTGTTGTCCATTCCAGTGTGTCTCGTGCATATGGGCTGTAGGAGGAGAGCCCTGCTTTTGTCATTGTTGTCAGTGAGCCAGACATCTAGTGTCCCTCTGCCAAGCCTGTTCTGCTGTTCAAGAGTTCTACTTTAAAGTAAGGTTGATTTTTAAAGCTGCCTGGAGTACGTGCGGGGCTTTCTGAAAGAGAAGTAGGCCTTTCTGAAGTTTTGGTCAGGGAAAATATAGGTTGGTTCTTTGGGGGAATGATTCCTACCTTGTTTTGTTGATTCCCACTACTGCTGTTCTTTCATTATCACATTTGCTCATCAGCAGGTTGAGGGATGCATGTCTTTGGAGTACTGTGTCCTGAAAAGGTGAATGCTTGCAAGAATTCCTTGGATGAGACCTTGTTCACCTTGGCTAGTAGAGGATTCTGAAGCCAGATAGGCTGCTAAACAGAGGTTGTGCAGAGATCTGCATCATCTTAGTGTAGCAAACCATAGTCAGGACTAGGGAGACTATCTTTTAAAACTGTGTTTGGAGTTTTGTATCACRGACAAGTCTGTGCCTGGTTCTATGCATACACTTGAGAACTTCCTCATTTCTTTAAATTTACCATGTTAAAGAGGGGGTTGCTGAAATACTTCCTACTTTTTCTATTCCCCAATAGTTTAGAGACAAGTTTAATAATTATCATTTGAAAATGACCTGAGGAAAGAACTCAAGATATTCTTTTCTGTCTGACATTACTAAGAGACTTTCACACCTCATCTCCAGGCACTGCCAGTTTTGTTATATCTTTAGTGATAGTTATCAAACAAATAGAGTTGGTATTTCCTAGCACTGCAAATGCTCACAGGACCTTGATGTGAAGCATCTGAAAGGAACCTGAAAAGACTCTGGAGAGGTAAGTGGATCCCTGGAGAGGCAAGTGGGAAGAGCAGGTTATTGTGGCCTGCACATTCCTACAGCAAGCTGGTGAGGAAGAGTTAACTCACTTCTGTCTGAGCTGAGACTAGGAGTAGAGGTTGATTGACTGAATGTTGGAAATCTTCTCTTCATGCCAGGTGTAACAAGGATCATCTGGTAAAAATGTATGTCTGCCTGAGACAGATCTGTCTTAGACATGCATTAGCACGAATGGAGTTTGCTGTCTGCTGGAGGAGCCAGGTCCCCAGTTGAGCAAAGCCTAACGGAAATTGGATCCAGTCCAGAATGTCTGGATGGCATATGATATTTACTGAAATATGGCATTGCYTGTGTAAGCAGCACACCCTTCTCCCTCACTCTGGAAACCATCTGGGCTTCATGTGTGAGCGGTTGAAAACCRGAGCATGAGAGCATCTGATGCTGTATGGCTCTTGTGATGTGTTTCCCACTCCGGCCCCCCTGCCTGGGTGTCCCAGCATTTGCAAGCATGGGAGTCTAAGCCATGTTCCAATATCCTCTTAACAACCCACTATGGGTTTTCTTCCCTTGCTCTGCAGTGGTTGTAAATGGGATAAGGTTGTATGAGGAGTTTGTACAGGGCTTTACTGACAGAGTAGGAAAGCAAACTCTCTTGCCTAGGCCAGGGTACAATCATTTTGCTGGCCAAACCTTTCATTTCTATCTGGGTCCACAGCCAGTAGCTTTATTGACTGTACTGATTTTTATACAAGCTGGAGACAAAGCTCCTGGGAACAAGAAGGGATTATTTGGCATGTCTCTGTACTTGCATAGCAAGTGTTTTTTCCAAATGCAGCTGAGCACCCTTAGCAGTGACTTGGGACTGGGCTGAGCCCCCTGTCCTTGACATAGCCAGGCTAAGAAATTATTTGTCCAATTGCTGTGTTGAAAGGGCAGGAGGGGATAGGGGAGTACAAAAAAATKGTCCCCTGCCTGCTTGATATAATGCAGGGTTAGCAGTGCTTTTCTGTAGTTTTTGGGAGCRGATTTAGTTAAAGGTAGGATTTCTGGGGTGGGGTTCGGGTTTCCTCTGCTGTTTTCAAGGCTTTCCTTGTAGCTTCCTCTCTGTCTGTGTATGCACACTCTGTGGGTTTTGTTTCTTAGAGGGAGCATCATATGACAGCCACAGCATCTCTGATCTTTCTGGCAGACTGATCCCTCTTCCTTCCTGAGCTTGATAAACAGTCCAAGAAACTGTGCTTGTGTGTGAGTGCATGTATATCTTTCAGAGACCACAGCTTGCTTCTCCATTCTTGGTGTGGTTTTTCTATCCTTCCGTCAGAGTTTCTGGTGCTTCTCTGTTTTGCTTTCCCATCTCCCCTCCTGCTGTGGTTTATCTGCTGCTGCCTGACTTGAATATGGGGGTGATACTGTGACCAGTCCTTTTCTGAGAACTCTGACTTGTGCTCCCCAGGTTCGCGCCCTGATGGAACACGGTTTCTGAGGTGCTAGTCAGGGTTTCAGGCCCTGTTGGCAAAACTTTGCAGTGCTTTCTGAACTCAGCCTGCTCATGTAGTGCTGGCAGTTTCTTCCTGCAAAATGGTTGCTGCRGCTTGCAGGTTACCCAGATGCCCAGTGCAGGCAGATGCTGTAGAAAGAGGAAAGCCTTCTCTTTGTGTCTGTGCAAAGCACTGTGGAACAGCAGAGCTCTGGTTCAGAGCAGGGCTCTGACATGGTAGCACAATGTGAATTGTTCCCAGACTCCAGCTGTCTTCAGCCTAATGCAGCTAGCATACAGAGAGCCACTGAAGCAACTTCCCTTGCTYCCAACCCCAGCAGCTTGTGCTTTTGTGTCCAAAGGAGCTGGCCCCAGCTATCTAACTGCTGCTGAAAAGTGGAAATGCCCTGTGTGGAGATGCCCAGGAGGGTCTGGAGGCCTGACCTTTGTACCTATACTCTGAGAGGGTCTCATGGGCTGGTACTTACAAGAGCCCCTTAGAGCTGTGTAATCCCTTGGGCTGAGGGGTGCATTTTCCTTATGTCCTGAAGTAGTGAATGCTTGAAYCTCATTCTCCATACTAGGTCATTGCCAGATCTGAGTTGCCAGAGCAAGGCTGGGCTAGCCTTGTACTGTGTTTTCAGCTCCTCCTGCTTAGTCTGCCCCTTTCCTCAAGCGTAGCTGATGCTTGAGAAATGTGTGCTCATTCYCACTTCTGCATTCTCTTCCTGACTCTAGGAGCCTTGGAGAGATTCAGCAGCAGCATTTAAACAGGTCATTTCAATATGGAGGTACCTTCTCTGCTCCCTCCCTTCCTTTTTCCTGCTTTGGCAGATTGCCTGGCCTGATTGACTGCATTTTGATTCATCTCTGCTATTTAATCTCCTCCCTGGAGAAAGATGGGCAGGAGGGATGCTGTTGCTGCCCTGAGGTAGGAATCAAGAGCTGTGGAGTGTTATTTCATTCAGTCCAAAAAAGCCCTCTAACAGCACAGAGGACATGTTGTGCTGCAGTGAAAGGCGGCTTTGAGGGATCATGTAATCTGCCCTCGCCTGGCCTTGTGCTGTCCCTTGTTGTAGGACTGGAATCAAAATACCATCTCAGATACTGCAGACCAATTGATTGGAGCTGTTTCAACCAATTCCATCTCTGTGTTCTGGAGGAAGACSTTTCTTTCCTCCTTCCCCATCCTGGTCAGATAACATCCAGGAAACTCGGTGTCCAGATGAAAGGTTCATCTTTTGCAGGGAGGGTGACCCTGTGAAGGAGACAAACAGCTTTCTGGTGGGGGAGGGAGGGTGGGCTAAGGATGTTGGAAAATGAGAGTGATAGGAGGGAGCAGATGAAATTATGTCTCCCATTTCTTTCAGCCACAAAGGTTACTGGGGTCAGGAGGTTGGAATACAGATGAGCAGCTGTGAGGCAGACGCTGGAAAGAGATTTTTTGTTTGTCCTGAATAATGCTTGGTGCATTGGCTGCTTGTTTCTGGCTATATGCTGTCTTACAGGGATGAGAGCTGTTCTCCATTGTCCTTCCTCATCCTTTTTCCC